GCAACAACAGTGAAACTCTGTCTCAAAAAGAAAAAAAAAAAAAAAAGATGTCACAGGTGTGAGATTTGTAGCGTGTAGGGCAGGAGTGGAGGAAGACTGGAGGCTTGTTCATGACAATGACTGTGTGTGGTTCTGTTGGAGGACAGGGGTGCATGTTGCCCCAGAGCTGGGCATGTGTCCACCCTAGGATTCACCGTGAGAATCCAGGACCATCAGTGGCTGGCTGTGTGATGCGTGTCCCTACGCCCTGCCCATGTGTGTGTGGCGGGGTTGAACATGCTGTGCCCAGGCCCTGGGTCTCTGTGGGCTCTGTTGGATGCGGGCTGTGTACTATGCCTCAGTGGGTTCCGTGTTCCTTCCTGTGCCTGCGTCTGTCTCCCTATCCATGTCTCCCTGGCCATGTCACTCTCTGTGTCTGAAGTTCACGGCCCTCCGGGGTAGGTGGGACTCTGAGTGACTCTGCTGCCCTGCATCCCTGTGTCTGGGGCGGTGCAGAGCCAGAGGGTGGCTGTTCTGTGTTTCTGGGACCAAGGAGGCTCTCTGGGAAGTTAGCAGCTGGAGATTAGATTTCAAGGGATCACAAAAGGAACTGAGAAAGAAGGATCCCCGGGCAGGGCCAGGCCAGTGGCCAGGGTCTCAGAGCTGTCAGGAGAACAGTCATAATAGCTTCCATGTATTGAGTACCTATCGTGTGCTGGGCATAGTACTTCATGCTTTATGTATTTCATTTATACTATTGTGTTAATACAATATTGTATATTAAGTATTCATATTACATACATCATATACATATATATATATATTTTTTTCTTTCTTTTCTTTTTTCTGGAGACAGAGTCTCACTCTGTCACCCAGGCTGGAGTGCAGTGGCACGATCTTGGCTCACTACAACCTCCGCCTCCCAGGATCAAGTGATTCTCCTGCCTCAGCCTCCTGAGTAGCTGGGATTACAGGCATGTGCCACCACACCCAGCTACTTTTTGTATTTTTTTAGTAGAGACAGGGTTTCACCGTGTTGGCCAGGCTGGTCTCGAACTCCTGACCTCAAGTGATCCTCCCGCCTCGGCCTCCCAGAGTGCCAGGATTACAGGCATGAACCATGGTGCCTGGCCTATATTATATTTATAAATAACAATTACATGGATTGTTCATAATGTAAATTACTTTATAGAGACCTTTTTTTTATTTTTTAATTTTTTTAGAGACAGAGTTTCCCTCTGTTGCCTAGGCTGGAGCACAGTGGTGCAATCACAGCTCAATGCAGCCTCGACCTCCTGGACTCAAGTGATCCTCCTGCCTGGGCCTCCTAAATAAGTGGGATTACTGGCATGTGCCATCGTGCCTGGCTCGTGAGACCTCATTTTCTATTATCCCATTGAAGGTAGGAGGGAACTGAAGCTCAGAGAGGTAAGTTCATTTTCCCAAGGTTGCTCAGCAAGCAGGTGGCAGAGTCAACATCTGAACCCACTTCCAAGTGTTTCCAGTCTTTGGCTCTTAATAACAGCCCTACCCCACCCGAGGTGGATGCCACAGCGTCTGCGGAGGACCAGCAGGGTGTAGGTTTGGCTGAGCGACCATGGATAACAGCAAATTGTTGGTGTTATGTTGTTGTGATGGTTTATGTTTATTGAGTCCTTACTATGTGCCAGGCACCATGCTAAAGGTTTTAATAATAATAATGATGTACCGGGTGCAGTGGCTCATACCTGTAATCCCAGCACTATGGGAGGCAGGAGGATTGAGCGAGCCCAAGAGTTCGAGACCAGCCTGCGCAACATGGTGAAACCCCATCTCTACAAAACAATCAAAAAATTAGCAGGGTGTGGTGGCACGTGCCTATGGTGGCATGTTCCCTACTCAGGA